CTAACTGGTTTCAAACGTTTTTCTTTTAAAATTAAATGTGATCTTTTCCACGGATAGAGAGTAATGCCGTTGTAGCTAATGCAGTTATTATTTTTTCTTTACATATTTTTAAAGTCCTAATTTTTCCCCACTCCTCTGCCCCCCTCCTGCCCCCCCAGCACAGGTATGTTACCATTCCTGGAATTTTCATTTACAATTTTAATCCTCTTCCTACCTGCTAGTCACCTCACCCAACCTGTGGCCTCACCACAGAGAGACCATGGAGAACAGGAAAAGCTTCTCTGGGGGTTGATGTCAGTCACCAGGGTAAGAGCAGTGCTTGGGCTACAGTACCCCAGGAACTAATTTCCCTTAATCAAATGAAAGGCCTTAGGAGGCACCACAAGGCAGAAAGAAAAATAAACGTGAAGGAGAATACGAAATTCACTGAGGAGTTTCAAGGACCTGCATTAGAAAAAGGGCACCCTACCTTCAGAACTGGCAATGCTGCACATGCAACTATTAATATGCAAAAAATGCCTTCATAAATACTTGATTCTGTGCACAGTGGGGAGGCAGTTCATTTGAAAGAGGAAATAGGAGCTTGGAGTTGAAACATGTCTGCTTGTCTCCTTTTTCTTTTTTCATTGCTCTTTTCATGTCCACGTTTCCCCTTGTAGTTTTCTTCTTTTGCAACCAACTAACCCCTCCTCCAGTCCCTAGGAAGTCGTTGATGGCCATTGCTACTATCGTTTCTACTTAGGGATTTACTGCCCAGGCCCAGAGTATCGGGCCAGGTGTGGAAGGGGCACCTCAGGAGCTGGTCCCACTGGGTGCAACCTGCAGTCCTGTGTACTTGGGGCCGCAGCCCTAAGTCCTCGGGGCTCCCGCCACAGCGCTGACAGCCGCTTAGGAACCAAAGCAGACGTTTGAAAATTCAACCAGTAGGGGGCGCCCGGAGGCAGCCTCCGGAACAGGGCAATTCCCTGCGCCCAGTCACGTCTGCAAAGCTCGCGCTGCCTTTCTCTCTTACCTCCCGGTCAGAAATTGTTTTCTAAATCTGGGCCTGTGACTTCTTATTAAAGATCGGTGAGGGCAAAATTTCCCCTTTGATATTCCCCCCTCTCTCAGCTAGCACAGTGATTTAAAAAAAGTAGAAGTATTTTATGTGATTTAACTCCTAAAATAGTCAGACCCCAATAAAGGAATGAATGGAAAGAACAGAAATTGCTGATGCTGATAAAGATCAATTTTGGTAATATCCTTGTCTGCTTCTGAGTGGGGAGGCGACAGTCGGAGGAATACGATGGGGATGCCAGTGGCCCATCAACCTACATAACTGAAATCTGCTGGGCAGAAATTTGTTTCTAAATCCTTTCCAGATGCTTTCTAGTAAACATGAAATTAGTCATTTACATGGAATAGGTTGAGGAAGTAGTTAAAATTGAAGTCAGTGATTAATCTAATAAAGGATCATTAGCCTCAAGGAGACTGGGTTCGGAAGCAAGGAAGACACCTCCCCCCACCACACCCCAATCCTCTTTGTGTTTGGGGGCTAATAGGGTTCCCTAGACTTTTCCCCAAATGGTATTCATTTCAGGGCTTACTTCTAAAGGAAATAAGGCTATTCTGACTTGGACAAACCAAATGGTTCTGGGGGGAGCACTCCTTCCTTTCACAAGGGAGACCCATCAAGTTCTGAGCAAGCTGGTTTGCCACAGCCTCACAGGGGAGACCCAGGGTTAGAGTTTAAGACCTCAGTCTGGTATTCCTTTCTGACTACAAAGTTAATAATTCAGTCTAGGATATAATTTGACACAACCGAGCCTACTCTTATTGCAGGTGATATTTGGTCTCCCGAAATTCAACCATGAGGCTGTGTGAATTTGGAATGTGTTTAGGATATAGGCATTTCCAAGATCTTCAGAGTTGTGGAGTCATTAAAATATAGTATATTTTACTTAAGTCACAGATTCTCTTAAAAAAGAAACGTTTCTAGATCTCTTAGAAAGGGTGTGAATCTTCAGCGGGCATGTGGAAAAAAAAAAAAAAAGGAAAACATTGGTTCTGTGCTTTCTCAGTAGCAGGAAGGGTCAGCTCAGCTGTTTTTAACCTCAGGGGAGGCCTGACCCAGGCATGGGATTCTAACTGTGAGAGTTCATGGTGCTTCCCCAGAACCCAGCAAGGCACACGGATGAAAACAAACTACTTTTATTATTATTGTTTTTTAATGATCGTGAGAGAAGATGAGAAAGCCTGGCTGTGGCAGGAAGTTGGAGATAAGGGCAAAACAGAGATCATGGGCCCCTAGGCTGCTGCATTGCAGGGAGAGACCAGTGCCCTGGGGCTGTGTTGCTTCTACCTCAGCTGTGAGACCCGCCACAGCTGTAGGAATTCCCCTGAGCTATCTCTCTAGGGTGAATTTGAAGACAGGCCCAGCCTCAAAGCTTCAAATAAAGGAACAAACTTATAAATATTTGTGAACATATGTCCTTGAACCATGAATAGAATTTCCTAACCCATCTAGATGAAGCTTTTTTCTCCTTTCCTCATGGTGTCATTGCAGTTTTTTTCTTAATTGCTATTTTTTCCCCTATCTATTAGGAATGAATATTGGAAAAAGGGGTTCATTAGCACAATGTCTGGTGCCTACTGCCTCAATGAATGATACCTGTAGGGTAAAGAAAATATCAGGCTTTTCTGCCCTTCCGCCATCAGGATAGATGATGGATCCTTGTCCTGAATGCATGCCTGATGGCGGGCACCTGGAATAGGGTGTGGGCATAGGTAGATGGGATTCAGCTGAGGTAAGACTGTGCTTTTAAGGGCGGCGTCACGGGGGGACGCCAGCAGCACCAGCACCAGCACCAGCAGCAGCAGCAGCCGCAGCCGAAGCCGAGAAGCAGCAGAACGAACGCTAGAGAGCCCAGATAGAGTGAGGACTTGCTGGGGGCTGGGAGGCCTGCCAGCCTCCCAGCCCCCCAGCCAGCACCCCTGCCTGCCATATGCCTGGTGAACCCCAAATAAAAAACCTGCAAAACTACTGAGGACTCTGACTCCTCCTTTACCCGATCTGCATGGGATCAGAAAACCTGCCTTGTGCCCTGTCCTGCCCCTTACAATTGGCGTAGTCGGCAGGATCCATGCAGACGGGTATTGGAGCCCTCCGAAGACCTGGAGGGACTAAGGAGAACAGACTTTGCCTGTGACGACGCTGGAGGCACCATGGCGGTATAGAAGATGGATACGTCCACGAGCTACAGGATGAGACCTGGCATGAAGGAGACGCCCGAAAGGACCAGCCAACGACACCGGAAAGGACCAGCCAACGACACCGGAAAGGACCAGCCAATGACCCCTGAGGCAGCAGGCCATTGCTGAAGCAGGGAGAGGCCAATGGATTGATAGACTGATGAACTGATGATTTTGGACTGACAATCCCGCCAGAAGGCGGAGGACCTTAGCAGGTTATGTTTATTTTTTGAGAATCTGGGGGTGGCCAGTGGGCCTAGATGGCCAAAAGCAGCCTGTGTATGCCCAGTGGCCAGGTGGAGGAGAAAAGCCAACTAAGGTGGCAAAAGCTGGTACTGATGCTAAGTTGAGAAGCCCTAAAGCGGCTGTTAAGCAGCCTGGGTATGCTGAAGCCCTGTGAGTCTCGTAAAATCACCTATGGGTGATGCCCTGCTCATTCTTGAGTGAGGGTGAGGAGCTGAGGAGCCCGTCCTTGGGGGACGGGTGGGGAATGTGGCTTGGGGTGGAGCCCAAGCCAAATGCAAAGTTTGGATCCCCAACCCATGTGCTTGTGCAGTGGGTTGGCTTGAGAGCAGGGGTCTGTGAGTCGCATGGGTGGCCATGAAGGCCGAGTGTTGGAGCGACTGCAGACAGAAACCCTGAGGGTTGGCGATTACCCCCAACAGAATAAAATTGCCAATCCCAGAGCTAGTGCATCCTGGGGGTGGATGCTGTGTGTGCCTTGTAGCCGAGACTACAGCCAGAGAAGGCCAGGAAGCCTGACGGCTCCTGGTGTGTTATAGCAGATGCCGTGTGTGATTTCCCTCCCTCGTATGAGCAGTGCCTTCGGCAGCAGATTTGGTGGCTCATCTGCTGGTACCAATAATTGTCTTTTGCACTTGGTTGGTGCCCTGCCTGGACTTATTTGTGTTCTGTTGTATTTTGTTATGTTGTATTTTGTTATTTGATGTATTTGCTTTTGTGGGCCATGGCTGCATTGTTTGTTTGCTTAGAAAATTGTGTATATATGTATAGACTGTATGGCAGAAAACCCTGAGGGGGTGGACTGTAGGGTAAAGAAAATATCAGGCTTTTCTGCCCTTCTGCCATCAGGATAGATGATGGATCCTTGTCCTGAATGCATGCCTGATGGTGGGCACCTGGAATAGGGTGTGGGCATAGGTAGATGGGATTCAGCTGAGGTAAGACTGTGCTTTTAAGGGCGGCGTCACGGGGGGACGCCAGCAGCACCAGCACCAGCACCAGCAGCAGCAGCAGCCGCAGCCGAAGCCGAGAAGCAGCAGAACGAACGCTAGAGAGCCCAGATAGAGTGAGGACTTGCTGGGGGCTGGGAGGCCTGCCAGCCTCCCAGCCCCCCAGCCAGCACCCCTGCCTGCCATATGCCTGGTGAACCCCAAATAAAAAACCTGCAAAACTACTGAGGACTCTGACTCCTCCTTTACCCGATCTGCATGGGATCAGAAAACCTGCCTTGTGCCCTGTCCTGCCCCTTACAATACCTTTCTGTGTTTCCTTGTTCCCTTCTTGACTTCGCAGCTATATCACGAACACGATGAGCCAGATAAAACAGTCCAATGTGAGTTAGGACATTTCAAATCTATGAGTTAAGGAACCTCTGTGATTTTATAGTCTACTTGTCTCGTTTTATTGATGAGGCAAATGAGGCTCAGAGAAGTGAAGAATCTTAACAATAGTCACACAGCATGCTGGGGCAAGAACCCCAAAGTCTTGACTCCCAGTCTCATGTTCATTCAGAATCAATACTATACCTGCTTCTCTGCTTTTTGGGTGAAAGGAGAGATTTCATTAAGATCCACATGAAGACCAGTTCTGGATTCAATATTTGCTGTGGTAGAAATCAGAGAGAAACGCATCAAGGTTGTCAGATCTAGGGCTCATGAATTTTTATAAATATCACATACATACCAGCCTAGTTCATATATGCAAGATTATAAGCAAACACACATCTATGACATTCATATTTACTCACCAAACAACATTCACAACCTCTCTGGGCACAGTCTAAACACTGTGCTGAAATACAGTGTGAAGACCTTATATGCTAATTTTTATTTTTCTTGTTTTGGTTGTTTCTCAAAAGAACAAAAGCAAATTCCTTGTGCTGCTATAATTCAGATAAAGCTGAAATTAAAAAGGAAATATTGATGGAAAAAATCTGCTGATGCTGTTGAATATAAATTTTGTATGATGCACTTCAATGCAGTGGAAAAATGCTTCTACAGCCTTCCAGATGGAGAGATCAGAGATATTCCTTTCCCCTCATGTGTGGAGGGGCAACAGGAGAGGTGGAATAATGATGCAGTGACAAAAGGCAAGGGGTTGGAAGGGGAGGCAACAGAAATCATGGCATGACCATGAGGGGCACCAAGCAGACACAGAGCATGTTGTTGGCCTATGAGCACACAGCTCCCCTCGGAAAGCTGTGTGTGTTTGTGTGTGTGTGTGTGTGTGTGTGTGTGTGTGTGTATGACTACTGCTCTCTACAGGTGTAGAGGCTGAGACTCAAAAGGTAAAGTAACCTATGGCGGGGGGGTGCAACTAGTGAGATTTTTGAGTAAGGATTTGTTCTGAGACCTTCTGCCTGAAGCCCTGAGATGAAAATAGCATTTATTTTGTCTTTCTTTTTTTACCCCAAGAAAGTAAATTTAATGTTTATAAAGGAATGTTTATTTGAGGTACAGATTTAGCTAAGTACATGGCTCTACTGACAATGATATTAGTCTCTGGTGGGGACCAGAGTCCAAAAAAAAGTTTTTTCCATAATTGGTACTCATAAGTACCTCTTTTAAGAGCCTGTGGCCATATGTCACTTTGCGTCTCTCTCTTGGACATGAAGCCACTACTCAGTCCTTATGGACTGGTCTTCCCTTTATTGTTTCTCAACTGTCCTATTTTATTTGAGAATGGCTTCTGCACAGATTTAAAACATTTCTTATTTAAGACAAATTGGGAAACTGAGGCCCAAGAGTAGTTTCCTGTTTTGTTCAAGATCATATCTTGAAATAGCACAAGATCAGATCAAATCTTATGACTTGGCATGTCATACTTCCCAACACATCACAATGCCTCCTGTTGGTTTCATTTGAGTTTGCCACATCACAGCTGCTTGGCTGCAATCCATCCTCTGGATGAGTCCAGCCTAGCAGAATAGTGTTGTGATGAAGTTCACTTCACTTGTGGCTTGGAAGGAGTCAGGGGTCTCTTAGAAATGAAACTTATAAATTCTAACACATAAGGAAAGTTCTTGCAACACCAGGAGAATGAATCAGTCAGCCAGAGTTCAAGAAATGTAAACACATTTTTAGATAGGAGACTGAAAAATTGCTTAGGACTTCTCCATTTCTTGGGTCAAGACCCTAGTAATTTACTGAGGTCCAAGCTGTCAAAGAGGAGACACAATTCAAACTGCATTCCAGGGAGATAAAGCAATGGGATGGCAGAGCTTCCTCTCTGAACAACATGGCAGGATTTATCCTTGTTATCAAACTGAAGAAACTGACTAGCCCCATCGACCAACGTGGGCAACTGGCTGTGAACACAGACCTGCCTTTTTCATCATTCTGGAGCTGGGGTGCACATTCACAGACTGCACGCTGCGCAACTTGCAGGCCCGCCCTAAACTGGGGCCCAGTCTATGATGAACATTTCTGCCACTAAAGAGATAAAACACATTCCTTCTCTGGCTGCCCACCATCAGGCCCAAGCAGATTTTCAAACGCTAGCATTAATCTAACCACAGGCTTTTAGCAGGGAGATAGCATTCCTGCCAGATAATCAGGCTGTTTCTGAGATGACCCTGAGTAGATGAGGTCTCATCCCAAACCTCTTCTGCCTTCTTCAAATCATGGGATCCTTCACTAAACACTCAAAACTTGAAAAGCAGGGAAGAACATCTGATTCTAGCATGGAACTCAGTGCCTTAAAATGTCTGTCTATTTAAACCTATGTTGACTACGTTTGATTCCCAAGTTGTTCATTGTTTTAAATAAAAATGTAATGCAAATCATAGTTCTTGCTATTATTTCAGAAGACTTATTTCCTTTGGTATGGTATGTTCTGGTGGGCCCATCTGGTATTAGAATAGAGCCTGAATCCTAAAAAGTCACCTTATAAGGCAAGGTGGGTCCCCTGGTGCCTTCATAAATTTGTCTCAGGACTTGGGAAAAAATATCAGACCCACAGTTTCCAAAATGGCCAAACATTCAGTGGTTACCAGGGTAGTAACTATTGGCGGTAAGGGAGGGAGCTTTTTAAAATATGTTTGGGCCATTTCTGACAACATACAAATTTCTGAGGATCGAGTAACCTTTGACTGCTCATATGTACTTCCCCTATAATTTGGGGGGAGGGTATATCCATTGCTAAATAGATCTTGGACTCTTTGTACATGAACTTGTAGACCCTGGAAAGAACCTATCAGAGGAGGCCTACAAGTTAGTCTTTGCACCTGTATGGTTTTGTAATTTTGTTCAAAAATGGAAAATGCAGGGGCAAATTCTAGATTATTAAAAAAAATCTTCTCTGCATAAACTAAACCATAAAAGGAAGGATAATAAGGTTCCTCTACATAGCTTTTCTTTCCTTAAGAATCATATCTAAAAATACTTTATTTTATATGATATGACTCAAGACACCTATGACCATTAGAATGTTTGTTGTGTTGTAATAAATCTTGAGTATGCTTGTTTAGAGGAGACCAAGACCCATGATGGCCTTTTGATATTATCATTATCAAATTCTTAGGACAAGATTTAAGACCTTGTTTATGCTACATATTTTCACTTTAAATCTTCCTGGATGAGGAGGAGGGTGAGACGGGTATATCAAACTGTTGCTTAAGACCTGAGAAAGTCTCTAAGCTAAAGAATATACTCCAGGGAGCTCTATTAAAGGGGCCAAATAGACGGACCTAGAAGATATGAGTCAGTCTGAAGTTATATATGGAAATGCTTAGTAAAGGCAAGTGTAATATTTTTCTTCCAAATTGGAATAATAGTTCTTTCACTTATGTCCTCTTAGACCAATCCTAATTCAGACTCAAGGGTCTGGCTTTAGCTTTCGGAATACCAACTTCTCTCAAAAGTTCATAAATTATTTTTTATGGAGCGGTCCAAAGGCACATGGCAGTTTACCAAACCCAAAATGGAAGGCAAACCTGATGATGGAATTTAACTTTGAGTTGTGTGGCAACAACATGAGAAACCCTCCAATCCAGATACACCTTTGGATTAATAAGGATACCTGTGATGGAAGAAGGGAATGTAAAAAAGAGGCTGAAGATGGATTTACAAACAAAGCAGCCAACAAATTCAATTCATGTGGTGCTGTTAATTCTGCAGAAAATATTATTCTTGGTCACTTGCTTTTAAACAAGGTCTAGACATCTGGTCTCCTCGTCTCTGGTCTTATCTACTTAAATCCATTCTCTACATAGCTGGGAGAGTCATTTCTCTAAAATAAAAATCTGGTTATGCTGATTCCTATATAAGCAGGATCTTATAGTCTTTGGGATAAATTCCTTAGGTGCTTTCTATGACCCTTCATGATCGGGCTCCTGCCTAGCCTTACAGTTGCATTTCTCACCGCTCCCTCCCTTACATATGCCCTGGGATAGAGGCATTATGCTGCACCTCCCCCTGCAGTGACCTTTAGGGCTAATGGCTTTCGCCAAGGTCCTGCTGTGCTGGTCCGTGGCAGCATTACAAAATGCTTACTTTTTCCCCATGCCAACCTTCATGTGGTCCCTTTCCTTGTAACAGTCTCTTTTCTACAGTTGGCTAGTTTCTCTGTATACTCTATGTGTACCATGGTAATTTCTATGCATAGCCTGGATGCAGAGCAGGCTATATTGTTTAGCTTTGTGTAAGTATAGTCTATGACATTTGCAAAAGAACAAAGTTGCCTAATGATGTATTTCTTGGAATAGATCTCCATTGTTAAGTGATGCATGATTTTACATCCTTCGATACTCAGCTTAAGTGTTCTCTCCTTTCAAATGTCTTTTCAGTCTCCAGGCTGATTTAGCCTGCACTCATTCATAACTCTCAGCACACTTCACTATGTGGACAACTTTAAGGCCCCTTAATTGTATTTTTGTGCTACAAATAATAGTTGGCATTAGTAGATAATCAATTAGTGCTTGTTGAATGAATGAATGAACAATCTTTCTTTACTTTGTAAAACAGAGGTACTAATTCCATTGTACATGTCTTATGCTGGCATTGTCATTAATTTTCAAATGAGGAGTTATAGAGGACTAACAAAACAAAAGAAAATGCTTATATCACAAGGATATGTGTGAAAGAAACAAGAAAGAAACTAAAAGGGGAAAAATCTTTAAGAAAAGTTTCATGCTTCTTTATGGTCTTTTTGATAAGAAGATAACACAGTATCTGAAAGGTGATGCAATATGAAACAGTATTTATAGATTACTAGTTATTGAATGTTATAATTTGTTGATCACTAAGAGAAGAAAAATATTAAAATTTTTATTATAGGTTGAGTAATACAACTAATAAACACACATATACACTCACACATAAAGTGTATGGACACTTCAAAATCCATACAAGTTTTAAAATATATTGTACTTAATGCTACTTCACAGATTGAGTGAGGCCCAGATCCCTTGTGTATATCATACAATAAGTGAACCGCAGATCCTATCTGCTTGGAAGGCAAATATCCTAACAATTCCAAGAATCCTTAGATTTGTGAATATCCTTAGTGTATATCATATCTCTAATAAAACTAAAGTAGATCTAAAAAGAGAAGGGGAATTTTTCAGACTCTGAAGGAGTCTATAACTAAAGGATTAGAGTTAAT